TCTCTTTCTTTTCTCTCTCTTTCTTTCCTTTTTTTCCCTTCCTTCCTTCTTTCACTCTCCCCCCTCTTTAATTCATCTCTTCTCTCTTCCTTTCCCTCTTACCCTTTTATCCAAAACCCACTGCCGTGTGCTTATATAGTAGGTCAGGGGACTAACGTACTGGTTTCCATTCCAAGTGTGTAATTTAATAATAAAACCTTCCGATTGCTTGCGGGCCCTCCGGCTCTTGTCGTTCCTTTCCGCCGCGAGCACTTATGAACCTCGGGCATTCCCTTCCCCTTCAGGGTGGGTCGTCACAGGCACCTCGCGGCGCCGCACCTGCAGCGGGTGCCCGGGCAGAGGAGCCATGCCGGGTTCCTGCCGCAGCGCTGCTCCCGCCCCCACACCGCCAGCCACCGCTTCCCCAGCCACCGCTTCCCCAGCCGCCGCCGGCACGCGACCGCCGGTGGCCGTGTTCCTGTGGAAAACGCCCGCAAATGCCACCGCTCCGCTGCGGGGGGCAGCGCTCCCTCACGGCGCTCCCCCGGGCTGTAGGAGGACAGAGGCAGGCACGGCGCCCCAGGCGCCTCCCGCCGCGGCCTCGCGCACCGCCTCCCTGCCTCCCTCCCTGCCCCCCGCTCCCGCCCCCTCGCGCGCGCGCCGGGGAAAACGTTGCGCAGGTTCTAAAGCGGCGGCGGGGGCGCGGCCGCGCGCGAGGGGGCGTGTGAGGGGGAGCGGCGGGGAACGGCCGCCGCCACAGACACAGCCACAGGCACAGCCCGCCGCCGTCCCTCCCGCCGCATGGAGCTGTCGGCCATCGGGGAGCAGGTGTTCGCGGTGGAGAGCATCCGCAAGAAGCGCGTGCGGAAGGTGGGCAGCGGTGGGGCGGGGCGGGGGGAGCGCACCGGGACATCCCCCCCGCCCCTCCCGCCGCGCACCGGGAGGGGGGCGTGGTGGGCGCGCGCGCGGCCGCCCGGTCCTCGTCCCTGTCCCCGTCACGTCCCCCCACGCGGCGCGGGGGCACCGGCACCTGCCCGGGGCCGGCGAGCGGGGGACACGTGTGTTGGCTCGGGGGTCTCCGGGGCGGAGGGGGAGCTGTCGGTGCGGGGGGTTCAGCCTCTGCAGGATGAGCGCTGGTGACACCAGACGGAACAGCCCAAACCGGAGAGCGTTTGGGAAGGCTCCCGTGACTCCGTTTCCCCGGCCCTGGAAGCCCTCCGGGCCCCGCAGGGTGTTGCAAGGATTAACCTGTAGGCATGCAGTGTGTAGAGATCCTCCGGTGGAAAGTTCCTTATAGGGCAGTGTTTTCCAATCTTGGGAGGCTGATGAACGAACCCCCCCATGAGGAAAACGAAACCGGTTCTTTGGCTCAAGTACCCGAGCGCTTTCCTTGCTGTGCTCTCCTGTAAAGGTGTCTGCGGTTGCAGCAGTGCCTCTTGGAGTGGTCCTACACCACGAAGGCCTGTGCCGTGCTTTGGAAAGTGCTTAACAAACCCCTCAGCGTAACATTAAACATTTTGACAGTTGTACACATTGCTCACTGAGCCCTTGAGCACGGTTTCCAATCACTGCAGGTTTTTTTGCTTTTTGTTTTTAAATCTTGTACTTGGAGTGAGCAAGTAAAAGGATAGCTCTGAACTTCAGCTGTGAGCTTGGGTCAAAAAGATGAGTGCCTGCGATGGATGGAACAGGGTTTAAGTAGAGCATGTAGCAAATGGAAAGGAACGTGTCAGAGATGCTTCATAGGTTCTGAAGTACTGTGTTTCTTCTTTCTGCTTAGAAAAAATATTCATCTGACACCTGCTTCTGGCATACATCTGCCTCTTGCATTTATGCGTGCTGACTTCTTGTAGGATTGTCTGTAAATGTGGGAAAGGTTCAGTATTACTGTCTAGTTGACTTTTAGTGTTCTGCCTGCAAGACTTCTACAAAGCTGTGCTCCAAGCTGATGGGAGTGCAAGCATGCTTAAACACCACTGCATTCTAGGGAAAAAGGTATAGCAAGTGTAGTTGAATGAGGAAGTGTCTTTGTTTTGAAAATAAAGTGATGGGAAACGAGCTTTTTGGTGGGAGTTTAGTCCCATTGATTGGTTGCATTTCATACTGTAGCCCGTATTTTGTTGCAGAGTTCATCTGTTTTCTTCTTCCTTTTTCCACCCTCAGGGGAAAGTAGAATACCTGGTGAAGTGGAAAGGATGGCCCCCAAAGTAAGTTGTGTTTACTTGTCTTTTTTGACTTTAATATTCAGTAATAGCTTACACTGTGTCTCTGCAATTGAGCATCTCATTCATGATGGGTAATCGCTTGTGCCTCATTTCAACAACAATAAACAGAACCAAAGAGCCACAAACCAAACCCAAATCTGTTTGTGAATTGGCAGCTAAGGAATACAAACTGCCTGCCAGTCTATTCAGACTGGTTTTTGCCACCACTGAAATATTTCATTGAGATGCTTTCTAGATACAAATGTTTTTAAATTCATTATGAGTTCAACAAAGAACCCAGATTCTTCTGAACTTGGAATGACTCCTTCTTTTCTGAGTCAGCACCAAGAGGACCCTACTTTATTTTTAGAGCTGTCTGAAGTCTTTTAAAATAGAATACATGTTGATGGTCTTGTCTGGTTGTCCTACTGCTTTCCTTCTGCAGTTCACCAACAGAAAGGGGCCATGTTTCAGATTTATTGATTGTAGCCAAGTGCAGGTGATCTTTGCCCCTTGAACATTACCGCCGTGCCTTCATTTCCTTGTCCGAAACCTTCTGTTTTTATGAGTGCCTTTTCTGCTTTTACTTTGGTTGCTACATTGCAAAAAGGGGGAAAAAAAAAAGAGGCTTTTTTTTTCCAGCATTGCTGTGCACTGTTTACAGATACTTCTCTTATTCAAATGCAGCTGCGTCTGAAGAAGAGTGATTGGTCTGTGCTTAAACAGTCTGTAAAATGCTTTGAGATTAGAAAGATTAGGTAACTGGAGAATATTACTATGTCAGCTAGCAGCCTAGTAGAAAAGCCTCCTGGCCAACCCATATGGGGCCCTGTTTTTGCTTTTCTGTTTGTGATTGTGTGTGTACATACACAACGTGGGTGGGTACAACAGCATTACACATGCAGTTGCTCTGTGTGTTGCTAAGCAAAGGGGGCCACTTGTTACAGGTTTGGCCTCACAGCTGCAAAGCGGGGCCCACTAGGATGGTTCTGACAGATTGTACCTGGTGTCCAAGAAGCTGAAATGTGTTCCTACATGCCCAATCCTTGTGCCTAATCCTTATCGGGCATATGTAAATACAAGCAACTTCCCCTATCTGGTGGTGGTGGGAGAGGGGACTTTATTCTTGACTGTAAGTCCTGCTGTTGAAGTAACCTTGTGCACTTGTTGAGCACCAGCTGCCATGTAATGTGGGCCACTTCTTGGACTGCTTCAGCCTTAAGGAGCCAAGTCTTATTTAATCGGTGATAGAGGGTGGGACACGTATTTGGAGCCTGTGAGGCCCCATCCGCTTCTGGCCAGAATACTGATGTTTATCCCACTCGCCTTTGAACAAACACATTGAGGTCCTTCTGTAAAGTCCCTTGTCAAGAAGATGGTCTGCGGCATGGCGTAATGTTTCCTTGGACAGAGCAGCCTTTATTCTTAACTGCTGCCTTTCCTTGTCCTGCACCTTGGAACTCTGGGGGAGACAGAAACTCTTCTGGGAATTTAAAGCACAGCTCCTCAGGGAGCAAGTAGGTTCCCTACTTTTGATGCTGTGACATGTCCAAGCACCTTCGCTCTTCTCCCAAACTCCAAATGTGAAGAGCATTTTAACTATTTACTCAATGGTTTGAGTTATTAAAACTAAGATTCTCAGAGCACTGAAGTCACTTTCATCCCATTAGCAGTCTCTGTTCCTTGTTTCTGAACTTACATATGCCCAGGACAGCACGCAGCACCACAGGCTGTTTGCATCTTTTTGTCTGTTTGCTCATCCCATGTCCCGTTTCTCTTCATTCCCTTCCCCAACCTTGTTGCATTGCTCTTTGTAATCTCTGTACCTATTATCCCACTGGAAGCATCATAGAAGGAAATAAGGATAGGTCAGTTGTTTACTGCTTTCATGTGTAATTCATATTTCACTTTTCCCCCCTCTTTTAATAAAAAATTCTTGTTCATGCCCTGCACCTCAGATTTCTGGATTGCACTGCTGGAGTGAGGGAATGGAGGAGTGACAACCTGATTCTAGCTACAAGCTTGTTTACAACTTGTCTTGGAGTTAAGAGGGGAGGGGGAAGAGGAGGAGTAGAAGGAGGGGGAAGGAAGATCATATGATCTATGTTTTCCAGAGTGCCTGCTCTCTGCAGTTTGCTGCAGCCTGGGCTGTGTGTACCCATATATAAAGCTCTGTGTGCGCGCGCGCGTGGCAAATTCAACCATGTTTTTTTTAAATGCAGTGTTTTGCTACTGCAGCGAAGCCAGAATCTGAACTGCGGAGAAAACGGCAACACCCACCAGGGGTTTTTTATAAGCAAATCCCCTTTCTTCTCCTGCCCGTGAAAAGCAATCTGATGACTTTTTTCCCCTCTCGTGGTGTTATTTTTCTTAAATTTGTAGGATGAGTGCCAGAATCCCTGCAGCTGGGAGGAAACCTTCCTCTTTTCAAACATCATCTTGGCTTTGACAGCTCACAGTCAGGTTGCTGCAGGAGGCATGAGCAAAGGAGGGGAGGGAGGGAGAGATCAGCTGGTTATGAAGACATGTCTGCTCTTAACTCTCTGATGTACAGTGCACCTTGGAATATCTGAATTTCATATTTTTGTTTCTCCCTTTTGTAAAAGAATTGTATTTTCATTTCTAGACCCATTCTCCAGGAATGTTCCTGTTTTTCAGTACCTTTCTTCTCTCTAATAGAGAGATGAAAGGGAAAAACATTCCTAAACCACCTCCCCCGTGTACATATAGGCATGTGTCGTGTGCTCTCATGTGCAGCCTGTGCTTCATCCAGAAATGTAAACATCCTGAAATGCTTTCTCGCTTTTAAAGGCACTGATACAAATGCACCTTTGCACACCTGGAAGTGACTCCTCTCTGGTCCTCCTTCCTTGGGTCTGGAAGGGGCTTTACCTCCAGGCCTGGACCTCACATTCCAGGAAAATTAGTGTTCTGAGGCATTTTGAGTTTCAGACTTGCCTTTTTGCCTTAGAGTTTGTACAGTAGAGACATGCCACCCATCTTTTCTGTGCAAGCATGACCTCTTAGAAGCAAACATGCCACAAGGACCACTTTGTGATCCTTTTGGCTTCCACAGTGGGAATTTTTGGCTGCCTCTCCCTGGTGTTAAGTGCAAGTGTGCTCTTTGGCGACCAGTTTTGGAGTTGCCTCTGGATGGGGTTCAGTCCTTTCCTGAGATCTGGCTCTTGTCACAGCTGTCTGGCTATCAAGGACGGAGCTGGGGCAGTGAGTGATGCTGTTCACAGCTCCTGTCGGAGCGTGAAGCCTGTTTGGAGCAGTGCTGGTGGCCCTGCCCGCAGTGCAGATGGTTCCTTCTGTGCAGGTACAAAGTACCGATGAGCTCTGTTCCATAGGAACAACCCACAGGGGGAGCCAAGCTGGAGGAGGAGGCATTGGCAAGTGGCCATCAACTTGCCCCAGGGCCCAGGTCTGAACATGTTTGGTTGAACGGCATCAGTGGAGAAAAATTAAACTCTTAAATGAATACTTTCGGCTTCAGTGATTAGAGGTAATTAATAATGCAGGTGAGAAAGCGTACTTACTCTTTGAGCACTCTAAATTAAGAGAGACCTATTTTTCAGAAAGCAGTATCAGATCACATCTCATTGTTCTATGGGATTTTTGGATTTGAGGGAATGCTGCAGATGAAACCTTCTTTAGGCATGGACTTAAAATCAGTTTGCGAGTGTCTGCACAGGCTTTGCGAACAGTGTAGAGGGGGCCCTGGGGAGGAAAGTCTTCCCTGTTTTCCTACAAAGAGCTGTTTGATGGTTGGCCCTGCCTGTTTTGGGAAGGGGAGGTGGTGTCTGTGGGAAGTTGGGGAGGGAATGGCTGAGATTCCTCAGAGCTCTCGCAATGTTGTGGCAGGCCCCACCGACCCTGGTGAAGACAGTATCCAGGGCTGCAGCACACTGGTAGCAGGCCTGTGGAGAGAATGTTTCGTTTAAGTATTGTTTACTTTTTATTCCTTATGTTTTTCTTCAGATACAGCACATGGGAGCCAGAGGATCATATCTTGGACCCTCGCCTGGTAGTGGCTTATGAAGAAAAGTAAGGGCGCGTGTTCTTTCTTTCCCTGAACACAGGAAAAGAAATACCGTCTTTATTTCATTATATGCATAAAGTGCCCTGTTGTCCCTACGTAAGTCAAAGATGAGATGTGTAGCAATGAATCCTGCTTGATTTCGGTACCCTGCTGTTGGTTGAAACAGACAAGACAAGGTTAAAGCAGCTTTGATTGGCACTGTTCAGGAAATGAGGCAAAGAACTGGCAGCATTGAGCCAAAGAACCATCAGTCTTAGGTTTTAATCAGGTTCAGAGCTGGACTGGAGCGATGTGAGGCAATACGTTTCTCTAACCCATCCCTCATCAGCTGTGTCAGAGAAATTCCCCTATTGCAAGGCTTTCACTCCTACAGGAAGAAATTCTGGGATGTTTTCCAAGCCCACCCTGGTCACCACTGGGTTTTAGTGAAGGAAATTGAGGAAGATGTGCTGCAAAAGGTTGAAGTCCCAACTAGGTTTTATACTGTGGTATTTAGTATTTAGTTTGATTTGTGTTCCTCTTTCACAGGGAGGAGAGAGACCGTGCATCAGGGTACAGGAAAAGAGGCCCCAAACCAAAGCGCCTCCTACTGCAGGTAGCCCCTTGCTCTTCTGTGTATTCCTAACTCTTAGCTGCTGTGCTGCTTCTCTGCTGTCAGGGATGTGGGAACTGTCTGTTTGCTGTTGCATGGACAGAATTGGAGGTAACAAGCAAACACAACATCCATGAAATCACTGGTTAGGCAGATAGTTTTAACTTGTTAGCTGAAGAGCTAGCTAGTTTATCTTTAAAAAAGCAAAACGAAATAAAACAACAGCTCTTGCTCTCTGAACTGGAATTTTTTAAAGTAAGGGCCCGAGTGGTTGCAGGTTACCTGGTTTGTATGTTCTTTTAATTTTATGCTGAGCTTGAACTTTCCATCAAGTCAAAGATAGCCACTGTTTGGAAGCAGAGTTTCAGCATGTTCCCAAGCAAAGCAGCCAATCCTAGGAAGCGTATATTAGGAAGAGCTTAGATGGCAGTTGAAGAGGTGAGAGAAATGGTGTTGTAGAAGCAGCATACCTTAGAAGCAGCTCATCTAGATGTTCAGGGGCTGAACAAAGAATAGTTTCCTGGCTCCCAGGGTGGAGCCCTGCCTGTATGATCAGATGTCCGCTCTGACCCTTTCGGTGTTGATGTCTTGGCAGCGGCTGTATGGCATGGACTTGAGGAGTGCCCATAAGGGAAAGGAGAAGCTCTGTTTCTCTCTTGCACGGAGATTTGGAGGAGGAGACAGTAGCCTGCCAGGGGCCAAGACAGGGCAGGCAGAGTTCCCAGAGAAGACTGGGGGAGCAGTCCTGCCATTCTCTCTCCGGAAGCAACGCAAAAACCAGAAGTACCTGCGACTGTCCAGGAAGAAGTTCCCCCGCATGGCAAGCCTGGAGAACCGAAACTGCAGGCATGAGTTTTTCCTGAATGATGCAGTGGGCCTAGAGGCCAGGCAGGGCCCTGAGGACTGGGAGGCCATGCAGCACACCAGCAAAGAAGGTAAGGCCAGACACCCCTTGGCTGTGAAGTTCTGGAGCATGTGAAGGATAGTCTGTGTTCTCCCTCCTCGGTTACCTCCTCCTGGGATTGTGCTTTAGGTCAGGTTCTCAGAGCGGCTCTCACTGGCTCATATCATGGCCCTCTTGTTTGCAAGGTTTCTTTCTTGTTTGAAGAGCACAGATTAATCTGGGTTTTTTTGATGCTGTTGCTTCTGTAGTCCTACATCCATGATACCCCTCCCAGTGTTAGAAAACATGCAGAAGATACTGCAAATTTTTCCCCTCTTACAGTTTCCTCCCAGCAGAGGTGACGCAGAGGTGTGATAGTGATGAACTCTGCCTCTGTCCACATATCCACACATGCTCAACCTGCTGCTTGGCTCGAAGGAGCTTGGCTGGCAGTGGACAAGCTGGGACACCAGAACTCCTCTCATAGTGGTGGTCTGAGAAGCATACAGAAATGCCACTAGGAACCCACAGTGCACTCCCCTGCCCCCTCCTTCCCTTTCCTCTCCACACCCCTCTATAGTCTCTTGCTGTAGGGCTATGTGAGGGGGGGATGAGAGAGATGAAGTGAGGATGGTAACTCCTGCCTGATCCCACTGAGTAGGCAGCATGAGTGTGGGCACAGGAGATGTCCAAGCACATTTGGCATTTTGGGGAGGGATACCAGCATCTTGTGCAGGAGGGCTGTGGGATGTGTGTGTTGCTCTCAGTTACCAGGGAAACTCTATCCTTGCATTATTAGAGCTTCTGAAGGCGTAGCTTTCCTGAGGAGTGGAAAAACGGGGCTTATGCTGCTTGTAGTAGCTGAGGGAATCCTGTTACTCCTTGCTAGGAGTAGCTGTTAGCCAGGCTGGATTAGGCAAGATTTTAGGGAGAGGGCTGTGTTCTGGGAATCAAAGCTATTCCTTCCTTTCTGAGAGGGACTGGAACAGTGCCCAGAATCCAGGGAGGCAGCAATGGGAATAGCACAGAGGAGCCCAGTGTTACATCCTGGCAGTGGACAAGTGTGTGGGGCTGTTCTCCCCTAGAAGCGTGGGGCTCTAAAGCACTTTGGGATCATAAGAGTGAGTGGCACTACAGAATTGTAAAACTGTTTTTGTTCTCCCCTTGACATATGGTCTGCATTTATTGTTAGGGGGGATTATTGTTATTGTTCTGAGGTGAAAGTAGGCACCCCAGGTGCTTGAGACAGAAGCCAGGAAATATACTCTTAAGGGAACTTGTTCTTTACCCAGGTTGGGATCACAAGGGATATAGTACAGGTAGAATGACAGGGAGAGGATGTGTTTTCCTTCCCCTTTCTCTGTTCATGTGGCAGTCTCTGGAGGCTGGGGGGAAGTGGGGCTTTAGGTGGCAGAGGACTGATAATTATTCATACAGTGAGAAAGTGCAAGAGTGCTTGGGTTTCCTGTATGGAGCTGTCTGGAAGCAAAGGAAGGCTATGAGAAAGGGAGATCAGCCTTTCCACAGAGCACTACTGGCAGATTTTTGAGAGAATCACACCCAGGCTGCGTTGCAGGTGCACTATGAAGGCAGACCCTCCATTTTGGATCCCTTTGACTCCTATACGAGTTTCTGAAGAGTGTGTGTTAGAGTGTTTGATTTTTGACTTTTCAGCAGGGTAGGGCATTTAGGAACAGGTGAGCTCACAGCAGGATGAGTGTGCTTTGGTGACACAAAACCAATTAGGGGTTGAGATGGGGTGGGAGGTATCAGGGAATTGTGGATGGTTAGATGAGCTGAGTGGTTTTGCAGGTCTTTTGACCTCTCTGTGGCTGCTGTGATGCCACTGTGTGTCTGGACACATTTACTGCTCTTTCCTTTTCCCATTATGTCCTGCTGTGATCCTCCCATTTTCCCTTAGCCTCTGAGGAGAGGGCTTGCACGTGCTCTTTCTTGCTCTGTAACGTGCAGACTCAGGCTGATTTCACCTACTGTTTGTCAGAAAGGAGACCGTTTTTCCATCCTTCCCTTCCCTCTCTGCTTCCTCCCTCCTTCTCCCTCACCTTCCTCTCACTAACATGCTCTTATCTGCCTTTCCTCCTGCAGCAGATGTGGATGCCAGTCTCCCTTGGATCCCCACTGTGCCCCCCAGTGAAGTGACAGTGACAGACATCACGGCAAACTCCATTACCGTCACTTTCAGAGAAGCACAAGTGGCTGAGGGCTTCTTTCGAGACCGGAGTGCACAGTTCTGAATCTGTTTGCAGTGCTCCCCAAAAACAGTGCTTTTAGGGCGGGGCTAGGGAAGGGTTATGTTATCCCTTAAGAGAAAAAAAATATCCAAAATGTCTCCTCTTAAAATGTTTACAGAGACTTTTTTTTTCTCCTTTTCCCCCTTTCAGATACGCAAAAAAGGGCAGTGTAGGGGGTGTGTGTTTGTCATTGCTTTGTCCAGCTGAAAAACTGACAGCCCTTTCCCTGGCAAAGACTCCCCTCCTTGATGTGAAAGCAGCAAGCCGAACAATTCGCCTTTTATCCTGTCAAGTGGCGGCAGCTGCATTTGTGGGGAGAGGGCATGTGGAGGTGGAAAGAGAGCTGGATCTCTAGCCTGCTGCCTTGTTCTGCAATTGATATCCCTCGGATAAAGATACATCTCTGTGCGTTGCTCTTCCCACCTTCCTCCTCCCTCTCTTCCTGCAGCAGTGAGACGCAATGGATCCTACCTGTGTAGATAACTCCAGCCTGTTAAGACTTTCTCTCCAGTGCTGTTTTCCCTGTGGCCTGCTGTCAGGACTTCAGAATCCTATTTGCCTGTCTGTGGTAAGTCAGTCTTTGCAGCACGGGTCCGTATAGACAGCAGAGGTTTCTCCCTTTGATTGTTGATCATGCGGAAAGACTGAAATGCATCTCTGAAATCTAAATTGGCAACGCAAATTCAATTTGCCCTCATTAAAAGCTCAGAAGCCCAGCACAGTCAAGACATACCATTCTGTATATGCTAAACAGGATTTCCAGGCTCGACTCTGCTGTGTGAGGAATGCGTTATGGAAAGTGGGGTCTTCTTACCCTTTGCCAAATTCAGTATTAATAACAAATGCTGCCCTGAATCTGTGGTAATGAGTTGGTTGAAAACTGACTCCTCTCCCCTGGGAGGAGGGGCTAATAGGACAACTGAAGCATTGCCTGGCACTGCAAAGATATTCAAGAAACTGGCACAGGCCCAGGACACAGGAATTGGGCAGAACTGAGCTAGAAATGGACCTTGATTAGCAGCAAATTCTGGTTTTGGATCCCTTAGAGAGATCCAAGGTAAACAACATGTGAGGAAGACATGTATTAGATTTGAAGAGGGGAAAAAAATTCTTAATTCTTAGCAATGAGAATTCTTGGATTGTACTGCCTGAGTGATATTCTTCCATGACTCCAGTCTCCTCACAGTATCTGTGATCCTACTTTGCTGATAGGAACTTCCCCTTGGAAGGCTTAAAAATCTTTGCCAAGGAAAGTGGTCTGCATTTCAATAGACCCTGCCTAATCTTGCACTTAAAAATGCCTTGTGCTGGACTGCCTGTGACACTTTGAGGTTTTTGAAGAATTGCTGTATTTTGAGTTGGTAGTTTAGCATAGCATCTGTTCTTGCACATGCATGTTCTCTCCCATTTTTAAAAGCAAAATTTATTTAAATAACTTAATTTTTTAAATATAGACCTTTTCCTATGGAAAGCAAGAAAAGTAAGCTAGTCTGAAGTGGGAACTGCAGAACAGAGTCTGCAGGGTAACATTGGCTACTGTCGTGATTTCTGTACTCAAATCCTTTGTTTCCTCACCCCACCCCACCTGAAGCATCTCTTATATGCTGTATTTATTCTAAATGAAGCTATGAACCTTCTGAGCTGTGAGACCACCTGTGGAAATCCTCAGTGTATTCCTATGAGGGGCTTGGCTGCTGGCCTACAGAATTTTGGAGCTCTGAGGCTTCTGGTCCTCCAAACATCTACTTTTTGCAAAGTTCTTGGACTGCCCCTGTGGTTTTTATTAAAAGCAGGTTTTACCTCAGATGGGACATGGCAGCTCAGTGTAGATTTAGTATTTGCCCTTCCATCTCAGAGCTGTTTGAGCAAGCCTGTCTTCCACTGCATCACAGCAGTTTCAGGACCTCTGGGAAGGTCTTGAATTCTTGGGCTCACCTTTTGTCTCTCAAAAGAAGTAAGATGGGAGTTTTATTATGGAGAAATTTCAGAGGGTGAGAAGTGGAAGCTGAGGTGGGGGGGAATTACGAGGTGGGAGGAAGAGTGAGTAGGAGAGAAGCTTTCAGTAGCTAGCAAGGGCAAACTGATGAGGTAAGCATGCAGGCACAGGATGTTTGTTGAACGTGGGTGTCCAGAGCGAGGCTTCTGTGTCTGGAGTTGCACCCTCTTTTAGAGGATGTGGGGTCAGACAGTGTTGTTATCGTCACCCCCCCACACCCACCCTCTTCCCAACAACTGCCAAATGTGCTGAATACCTGCATCTCTCTTCTGTTGTGGCCAGTGGACACAGCACATGGCTGAGTCCACTCCTATGGGTTGTAGCGGGTCAGGTAGCGATGGTTGCAGAAGTGTAATATTTTAGCTTTCTTAAAAAAATGTTTTGATCTGCAGCTCACCCTGCTTGATCTTTGTGGCATTTATAGGATCTGGTTTCTCTATTCTAATTCAGCAACTGATGCCATCTCAGAGTACAAATACACCAAAAAAAGCTTCCTATTTACTAAGTTCCTGGCTTCTGCTGACATCGGAAGCAATACCAATCCTGCGGCAGGAAAGAGCTTGTCCTAATAAACTAGATTTCCATCTTCTGCTTTTCTTTCCACTCGCCAGCTGACACTTCTCAACGCTTTGTTTTGGCATTTTTCTTTAAACATATTTTCTTCCTCTTGCAGTGGAGTTTTCAAAGACCTGTGGTGGTCTTTCAAAGAGGATCCACCCACAGCTTCATATCTTAATCATTTTTTGGATCAGGCTAGCTTGTGTTCTGCTGGTGACTAATCATCTCGCTGCACAAAGTGTGGAACAAAGTACCTGGCTGCAGTGCTGCTTTGTGTCAATGAGGAGTTAACTATAATCGAGTTAAGACGCAACAAGCTGCATGTGCGTGGGTTTGGGGGAGGGGGGTGTGAAGAGGAGTTTGTGGTAGGAAACTAAGCAGTTACTTCGTTGGCGTGGACTTTTTTTTTGACATTCATGAATTCTTGTTTATCTTAAAGATCTTTTTGAGAAGATTTTTCTCCTGATCTTTTTAAAAAAACATGGCTCTGTTCCACGTTGTCTGGTGACATATTGTTGTAAATTTCCTTGGTAGAGCTGGTCTTCAGGGAGTTTAAAATTAGCTTTATTCCATCTCTGCAGGTGTAGAGATGTCTGGGGGTTTTAGTAGTGATGGCAAGAGAGGTTGTCTGGGTTTGTCTCTTCTCCCCAATACTGTCCATCTGCCAGTTCAACCCAAAACATGAAAATTGAATTGGGACCTCTTGTACAAACATATCATGAAAATCAGATACTGTGCTCGAAGCGTTGTTAAGCATTCCGTTTGATTAGAAGAGCCAGAATAGCATCCAGCTGAAGCTGGGTTTAATAATTCTATTTGAAGCACATGCTGAGAATAGAAATGGGCTAACTCTCCCATACCTCGTTTGGCTCCATGGCTGTAAACAAGAAAAACAAACTTCAGCCAGTGGAAATTACTGAACTGTACACAAGAAGCAACCTTCTCAGAGAAGAACGGTTCTAATAGTCATTCTTAGAACTGTTTCCATGTGAGAATTTACCAGCAGCATTTGGGAAACAGAGGTTTTTATTTCATAGATCTCAAAGTGAACTCGCTGTATATATGACAGAACTGAGGGGCTTCATGAGACTGGAAAGCCTTTATTATTAACACTGTGTTTAAAAAAAATACATGGAAAGTGAGGTATATATTCCTCTGTCCTGAATGGTTATAAACTAGATGTTATTGCTCTGATATATAAGTGATGCCTTGGAACAGCAAGTTTTAATGCGTAAATAGTGGCATTAAGTAGCCTCGTAGCTCCTGCATGCTCCATATTGTCTTGCATTTGCTTGGGGGCCCTTCTGCTTGTGAAGTTAGACCAAGGTGATTTTTTTTTCTTTCTTTTTTTTTTTTTTTTTCCAAGCAAGGCCAGGATATTTTTGTGAGAACACCCAAAAGCAGTTCCATTTGCCAAAATAAGCCCAAATTTGTTAGTGAATTGACTCTTGTTTATGTCAGAGCCTCAGACATAGAGAAGCTTATTGAGAAATGAATGGCTTTTTTTTGTTATTAGTGTTGTGAAACTGTCCGGAATTGTTCCTCTGGTGTTTTGTGACTGAATGTATAAAATTGTTTGTTCACCTCACAGGAGGCCCTTGGCCCCAGTATTGTTTCCTGCTGTACACCAGCTAGTGCTGCTTGATGGTTTCACTGGAATAGAGAAAGGAGGCCTCACACAGGTCAAAAAATAGGCAGGGTAGCTCATGCAGGACCCTCTGTGGTAGCCACAACAGAGGCCAGGGTGCGGAAGACAGCGGGGGCTGTCAGCCACATCTGTGTTTTAAGCAAAGCAAAGTCTACCATCACCTCTCCACCCCTTCCTCTCCTCTCTAGCTTTAAGCTTTTTGTCTTCTGAAGTAGGGAAAGTGCAAAAACCTCCTTTTATAAAGCTAGTTGGTATCTACCCATCTTCTCTTCCTCCCTGGCTTACCTGCAGCCTAGGAAGAAGAGGGCAGTGGGACTTTCTGGGAAGATAGTAGGGGCAGCTTCCAGTCAGGGAAGATAGGAATAGAGTTGCTTCAGAGTTGCTCTCAGTAGGTGATTGAGGACAGGCCTTTGGGTAAGCTGGTAGTTGAGAGAGAAGGTGTGTTAGAAACAAAGAACTTGTGAAACTGATCCCTTGCATCTGCTGTTGGCCTTGTGGAGAGGAGGTGATGGTTGCTATGTTTATGTATCTGTCTTCTACCATTTGGGAATGCAAGGGAGATGTGTACATTAACAGCTTGTATAGGGTAACTTCTACATGGGAATGCATAGCATTGGCACATACAGGTAAAAGGAGCGTGTTGCTTCTTCCATGCCTGTCATAAAGGTTTTCCTGAAGGGTATGATAAACTTGTTTTGAGACTATAGCTTATGATCAAGAGGCTATGTTGTCCTCTGCTGAACTTACTACCCTTGAAGAGGAACTATGAACCTTCTGGATGTTGAACCACCTGGATTCCACCCAAGCAGGTGGTCAAGATGGGAAGACCTAAAACCAGTGCCAGGACAATTAGAAGGAGAGAAGCAATCACTTAAAATGGAGTTCAGACCCTTCAAATCCTTTTCATGTAACGAGCACTAGCTGTAGTGATGATCCCTTTTTCTCTTCCACCTCTTTCACTCTTAATTGCTTAAAGTACACTGGCTGAACAGGGAGCAGGTAGGAGGTGATCCCTAGTTAACTGACAGTTGTGGAGAGGTGCAGAGCTCAGTTGGAGCACATAAGGGCTGACAGGAAGGGGATGGATTGCTACAAAGTCGGGTTGGAGTAGAAGCTTTGCTGCTGAGGTTGCCTCTGTCTGCTGTGGGCTGCCCTGCAAAGATGGTAGGGGTTCTTCTCTGAGAGTGCCAGTCAGATGTTGAAAGGGAGAGCTGCTAAGACTGCTCGGAACCTCTGTCACAGCTTATCTCTTTACTGGGGTAGTAGAGTTTTGGCTGGGAGGGGGATTTTGGAGAAGGAGGTGGAAAAACCTTTTTTTATTATTATTGGGTTTTTAACCAGAAAATGTAGTGTCAGCACAAAGCAGCTTTTTGCAAATCTGTCAAAATGTTAAGTAGCTTTTTTTTGCTTTTAAATCTGAAGTATGTTTTGAAGCACTTTGGAAATGCAAAGCACTAGGAGTGCTAAGTACTCCTTATCGTCTGTCTAAAAGTGGCATTTGAAAAGCAAAAGATGTATCTGTTTCAGGCTGCGGGCTGCTCCTTATCATTTTTCCAGAGCTGCCACCCAGCCCTTTGCCTCCCTACCATGGCTGGAGGGGAGCGTGCTCTGCCATGCCAAGGAACGGAGGGCGCCTTGAGGGAGTGGGGGAGACCTGCTAAGTCCCTCACTCACCTTTGGGGTGCAGGTTGGCTTCCTCCCTCCCCACCTCCTTTGACTGAGGAAAGGGAAAAATGAAGTTGAGTTTCAGTTGGTGTGGTCCTGGTCTGGAACCATGACCATATCTCGCAGCTCCAGAGACATCTTCATAGTTTCCTGTCTGAAAAATTGCACCTTATTAGCTTAATTGAAGAACGGGGAGATGTCTGTCCTTCTGCAGGGAGTGGGGAGAGGAAGGGAGGGTGAACCAGGAGCTGTATTCAGTAGCTGCTGGATTTTTCCAGAGGCCATTTCCTCACCTCATCTCCAACAGAATGGCAACAAAAGAAATAAAATAATTTAGATGAAGCTTTTGTTCTGTGTATCTCAAGAACCTTTTGAGCAGGCTAAGGGGAGTCTCCTTATCTAGCCAGCTCTACAGCGTGGGGGGACGACACCCTAGTTCTCTCACTGAGTTTTCAGCACCAACCTTTTCCTTCAGTGTATGCACATCATTCAGACTCTAGCACACTGATTTGGTGTGCTCCCTTTCTGTTGGGGGGGGAAGATGGGGGATGACAGGGTCAGTTAGAGGGGAGGGTCCCCGATATTTTTCTTCCTGTCTCTTCAGTTGCTGCTGTTGTTCCGTCAGCACGCTAGAGTATTGGAGTCTTTGCACACAGAAAGCTTCCTTTTTGCACAGAATGAGCTTCTAGCTTTTGTACAGACTAATTGAATGTATTTGGGGAGGGGGGGAAATAGGGAGTAAACCAATTCCAAACAAACCAATCAGAGTATAATGCCTTTTCTGAGCAAGTATGTGCTGTAAAAAGAGATTGTAATAGCAAAGGGAGGGCAAGCTCAAGTATAATTTGACACAAAGTGTGGTTTTATTTTTGTAC